GAGGAAAACAATAAAAACATGACCATATTTACAACTTTTCTTTCTTTGTCTTCAAATGTTACTTTTGTTTTTGTGAACATTGAAATTTGTGAACTATCAACCCTTAAAAGAGTATAGAAACCCTACGAAATTAACAGTTGACAGTTCACTTTTCTAACCGTCAGCTAGTTGTTTAAACTAGCTTGTTTTGAACTAGAAGCTCATTTTACTCAATACATATTCTTTGGATGAAATATTGGTGTTTTGTTGATTAATTTCTACCGAAATTGCCTTTGTTAGACTATTTGTGGACAAACTTTAAAGGTTCTATTTGTTTGAGTACTTTAGCAAGTTGGTAAATGATTGGAAAGGACGATTACAGTTGTGACGAACCAGAAATTCCTACAATTACAATACAACAAAGTACAAATACAAAGTACAAATAACATAAAATTTCGTCATAGAAATCGAAAGTAAAAAAAAAATGGAACTTTAATTCCTCTTGCTAATTCTTCGTTACATTCTCTCTGGATACCTCTTTCCATTATCATTATGATTTAAAAAATATGTTTTATCAATGTTCCATAAATGAGTTTAGAGCAAAATATACAAAATTTTCTAATACATAATAGTTTCAATGATGACATAATATGAGCGATATTAGGAACATTGATTGAAAATTTAATATTTATTTTATTGAACTGTGTATAACCATACCAAATCGAAAGTAGAAAAGAATTTTCCTTTTAACATTTTACAAATGAAATAATAAAGTAAATATTATGAAACTATTAAAAACAAGAATGACTTCATTTAGGTTACCATTTTTTTTACTATTAAAAAAAAGAAGTCTGAAAGAATGTAAAACCTAAAATGACTTTTTTAAATATATATTTATATAAATGAAATGTGAATGGTAGAAATTTTTCGCTGAAATTCAGTTCTAAGAATTTGTAAAATGTATTCTACAGAGAAAGAGTTGTATATTACCGTCCAACAGACTTGGTAAAATATTCCAAAACAGATTCCTCTTTTCTATGGTTTTTGATGAAAAAGATGAGTTGAACAATTCAGTGGTATCAGATATGGCTATAGATTATCATCTTCACAATGTCAAAAAATATGATAATATACTGTTAAAAGAAAAATTATTATGTTCAATTCTGAATAAATCTTCTTTGGAATTGAAAGAGATGAAAAAGTTGATAAGGCATTTGGAACATTTCCCACATTTTTTGGCTTTTTCGATATATCACCTCAAAATTATTATAATGAATTTTTTCATCTAATCTTAATAAAAGAACAAATTCACATAATTGCAAATTTCTTTATGTCATGTAGAAGATTATATTCTATTGACTTAAGTGGAAATAAAGAAATTCGATCATGCATTCAAAATATTCTTAAAATTATATGCATGAGTGATTGCAAGTTGAATGAGGAACAGTACCATATTTTGGGTAATTTTTTAAAAGAATGTCCTCACATTTCAACCCTGATTTTAGACAATAACACCAATATGGGTAATGGTTTTAAAGCCATTTGCGATTGTTTTAAAACAATCACTTGAACCCTGATGTTTTTTATCATTACAAAACTGCAATCTTAATTCTCAGCAACTGGATTGGTTAGATGATTTGAAAAGAGATAAATCTAATAGATTTTGATTTTTCCTTTATTCAATAAATATAATTGTTCATACCACTCAAGTAGAATAACTGTTGAAATGTTCAAAAGAACAAAACACTGAAAATTCTTTGTGTCGTCTTTGATCTTAATATAAATGTTTAAAAATTTACATAATCAAAGAAAACAACAGCAACCAACTTTATAAGTTTCAAATTTTGATATATTTTATCAAAACTGACATTTGATATAGTTTTTAATGTCATTTTCAAAAGCATGCGATGCAGTATCTTACTGATCCAATAGATTATGCAATAAATGGTTATTGTAGCGAAGATCTAAATTTGAACATTGGTCATTTAGAATAACCTTTACAAACAAAAAGTTTCACAATCCCAACATGTTTAGGAATGTCTCTTCTAATTGATTGAGCAATATTTAATGCTATACTCACAGACTTTAGTCAATAGTAAAGTACATAGGCTTAATTTTTATTATGAATTATTCAAAATACATTGTATATATAAGGAAGAGAGGCAATTCTCAGATTCAGACAGTAAAAGGATTTCTTATACTATTGTTATTCCAAAATGCAGAAACATTTTTACCCACTTAGAGACATTTTAGCTTAGTTTTTAATGACATGAAATAAATAACAGAACAATTGTAGATATTGATATGAATTCAAATTGTTCCCACAGGCCAAATATCTCACTTAGGTCAAAGAAAAAGAAGTCAAAGTTGACTATTGTTAACTTTTGAACCAGGTAAGGGTTAGTAGGAAAGAGATAGCTATTGACATGTACTTATCTAATGGATAGGGCACTCAAAAATGTTAGGTCAGGATTAAGATAAAATCATAGATTTATGGTTGTTTTCTACCACAATGAAATTGAACTTTACCTTAGGAAAACTTAATTTAAGGAATCAACATTGAAGAATGAAAACTATGTTCATTTAGAAAGCCAATCGTTAAATAAAAACTATTTGAAAGAAGTTGAAGAGAGAGCTGAAGAAGATTGTGGATTAATCATAAAAAATCATTTTCAGATTGCAAAAGAGAGAAGTAGAAAGAGACATGCCATGATAATTAAAATTGTTTTTTGCTGTAATCTTTATTGTCTACTTTTTATTTCTTACACAATTGTGCACTTAGAAATAACATAATGATACTTAGACGTTGGATATAATAGAACTTTAGAAGGACTTTTATTTCATAGGAATTATAAATGTGGAACTTTAGAAAGACCTTTATTTCGTAGGAAATAGATTCTTTCACCGTAACAGATGGTGCAACGTTGGAAAATTAACAAAGGAACAAACAATATAAAAAAAATGCATGTCAGAATTGTTACATCTTATTCAAAAACAGATGTGGAAGAGGCAGGCTTGTTTTTCAGTGGCACATGTTGGCCATGTGTGATATAACAGTTTTTCATGTTTTTGTTATAGGTGCATTATGAGACTGTTACATTTCAACTTTATAATCCTTTGACCAAGTGAACCCAAGCTTTGTTAAATATATAAAAGGAAATACGTTTCCCCAGATTGGACAATAAGCAGGGTCCAGAAAGAAGTATGTCATTGAGGAAATAGCCTTATTGTTGACTCTTTATAATACAAGGAAGTGTGTTGTGGTTGGTTACACTTCTTGCAACTAAACTTTGATAAATAGTTTTTGCTGATATTTCTGCAATGTAGGCAATTTCAACAATCAATGGCACCGTTGATAAAATCTAGGTTGTGTATGAACTTTAGAACGTTTTCTTTATGGCCTTTGATGTTAACACATCTTGATATTCGCAACAGTCCACTTCATCAGCCGTCCATCAATTTAAAATCTGGCAATCTTCAGAATCATTGAGTTGACCTCCATTAGCGGAATGATAACACTTCTTTGGAAATTCCAATAATTTGTACCATTAAACTTCTCAAACGGAGCAGTCTTTCTGTATCTTGAAGTATCAATTCTAGAATTACAATTATAGGATTGGGACCGTCAATGATTTACCTACCATTTGTGTATGGCGTTCTGTCATATTCTATTTCCTGTCTTTTATGAATTGTTTGAAAATTCAAAGTTCCAACATCTTGTTCATTGACTAATGAGAAATGTCTAAATATTAAAATGAAATGTAAATTTTCATATACATTTACTATCAAATTTAGTTTACCCCAGTTTTTTCACATTGATTAGTTTTAACAATACTTTATATGTTTCTTCGGCATATGCCACACAACAAAAATTGAAATAAAGAAAAGTTGTTTTCATCATTCCTTTCTGAAGAAAATCTTTGAGTGTTGGATGATCTTTCCGTGTCACTTCTATACATTGAGAGATATATGATTAGAGTGAAACTATAAGAGTCTATAGAGTAATTGACGAAAAAATTGGAACACTACTAATCTGGATAGGCAAAATATTCAAAATATTTTTCATTATTAAAAAAAATCATTTATATAAGTTTGGTAGCAAACTAGGACTCTGCCAATTTTTCGTCATAATTCAATTATCTATGAGAAGTTAGTGGGTTGTTATTTTTTCCTAAAGATTTTTGATTGATTACTGTCAATTAGAAGGTTAATAAACATAAACTAAATAGTTCGCCAACGACAAGGTGATGATTAGAATTAAAAGAAAAATCAATATTTTGATAATTTTTCCTGCAGGATATAAGTTTCTACATATTAATAATTATTATTATCAATTAAAAGTAGTTATTCAGTATGTCTTAATATCTAAACTAAAAATTTTACAAGGCGGCTGGGCACTTTTTGCCTAAACTGTAAAGCTATCCTATTCCACATTACAATTTTTCAATTCATAATTCAATATCCAAATATATCATTTGTGGACTTTTACATCGTATTTTCGCATGTGGTAGAAAATGGCCCTAAATCTATGCTTTAATTTTAAGCCTATCCTAGCCTTTTTTCCCTAACCTTTTTAAATGACCCTAACCCTTAGATTGGAACCCCCCTCCCCTCCTGATAACATATCAATAGCTATCTTATTCTGCCTAACTATTTCCCAACCCTAAATCTAACCTTCAATTATTCCATTTATGGCTGTTTTCAATCAGTCCCTATATTTTTCTTACATTGTTTTTATTTCTGTTGCAAGTATGTTAATCAGAAACCTTTACATATTATATTAGATAGAATATTACAAGTATCTTATCTCAGAGGTGATAAAAGTTATATATTGCTGTATATATTGTACATATTTCTCATTGTCACTTGAAATATTCGATGAAGAGAATAAGAGGAATTACCAAAAAAAAATTTTAAACATTCTAGCTATTCCTTGACAGGAAGTAAAAACTTTATGATTTATGATTAAAAAAGTATATCATAAAATGGTTTATTCCGTAGTTAAGTTTACAATGAGAGACTGTAAGATTAATTATTTTACGGCTTCAGATCATTTAAAAAAAACCATTTATGATTGTTTAAGCAATAAAAAATTCCATTATAAAAGATTATCAAAAAAAGTTATTCACAGAATAACATTATGGAAAAATTTTCGGCTGTTTAGCTGCAATGAACATAGCATATCAATAAAAATTGTTAAGTTACAGTTATCATTGTATTCAAAGAAAAACATGAAGCCTGAAGTCCATCACATAAATCTCCAAAACCAAATGACATACTCCAGTTATTAGAAAAATTGACAGATTCAATCCAACAGGAGTATTCAACAAGTAGCAATATGAGAGTTCAATAGCAGAGTATATAGTTCGTAAAGGCAGGTTGCCAAATTACCAAACTGTCTTCCAATGTTGAGGAGTAAATGGATGGCTCCATTGGAGGTTGTTTCCAGGTTATCTTCCCAGATCCTTGGGTCGAGATAGGAGATGCTTGGAATGAAAATAGTGAGGATTTATATACTTTGAGGTTTGCCTCTGATATCCAATCATCACTTTACAGTTACTGAACAGTGTAGTTCATATTTATGTTTAGTAACAGGATATTACAAGGTTGAACATTTAGGAAGGTTAATTGAATTATAACTTGACTAAACTTACCTTAACTGGTAATTAAAGATGACTAATCAGACCTGTGTTTGGCCAATGTTGTATCATTTTCTTGTGTAGGTTTATATAAGTTGCATAAAGTAATATAGTTCAAGCATAAAATATAACCGAGGCTGTACAATTCTATACCCTAATAAAGTATATTTTTTGCAAAATTGATAAACAGATGAAATAAATTGATGTTTGTTTGATTAGTCTGGTTCTGATTCTGATTCATTTTATTAATATATTAAAAACATTTTATGTTTTTATTCCATCAAAATGATCAATATTTGATTGATGGTGTCCAGTATGAAAATAAATCTTTTGTGTGATTTTATATTTACTAATACTAGAACTTTTATTGCTATCATCTGAAGTATCTGTATTAAGTGAACAAAACAGAGGTTGTCACCTGTGTTTTGTGTTGACATGCTGCAGTAAGAATGTAAGTGAAAGAGAAAGAAAGAGTGTGTGTCATGTGTTGAGGGTAGGCAACTCAGGTTCACATCATTGTCTGTCAGTTTCAGTTGATATCACATCACAGGTGAGGTCAAGTTAATTATTTTGTAAATATGACATCACAAACAGGCTAGAAGAATCAAAACCTAATTGGAAGACATCGACAGACACAAACATTTATTTTATATCTTTGTTAAATTTTTCTCAGAAAACATAGTGGCAATTTTGACTCTAACAGTCAACTATTTGAGAGATGTGAAAAAGTGAAGTTTGTTAATTCAGCTCATTGACACAAATGATAATGGACAAGAAATTTGCCAAAATTACAGCGACTTCAGGTCAATATAAACAGTTTGACCTTTACCTTGTCCAAGTGTCATGGCCGCCAAGTAGTATTGTAATTTTTTTTAATTGAAACTCTTGGATGGGTATCAGTCATCTGATCAGAATACACTACTCTATTTATGCAGTATAAATAGATTAATAACAATCAGAAGACAAAGTAAAATCCTCTTTAGATGAAAGACAGTCTCGTATTACCGGAAAGAGCAGAATTTGATAATTTATGCCACCTGAAACGATGATGTGACCGATTTAGGCAACGATCCTCCAGTTATATATGTCTAATTGTTTTTTTTCCATTTGTCATAGTAGCAAGAATCTCATCAGAAATTCAAATATTAAAACACTCTTCGCGACTTGTTTTAGTAGTACCTGTGAATCTGTATTTAGTTGTGTCCAAAATATTAAAATGGCGGAAGCAGAAATCAACAACGTGTGTCCTTCTAATCAGCAAGAATGGAGAGAGTGGTTAGAAAGTAATCATAAGACAAAAGATGCAATATGGCTTGTTTTCTATAAGAAAAAATCTTCAATGCCAAATCTAACGTGGAGTGAGGCTGTTGACGAAGCTCTTTGCTTTGGTTGGATTGACAGTGTGAAAAAATCCATCGATTCGGAGAAATATAAACAATATTTTAGCAAACGAAAATCAAAGAGCACATGGTCAAGAATCAACAAAGAAAAAGTTGAAAAATTGACCAAAGATGGTCTAATGTCAGAGGCTGGCTTAAAGATTGTACGGATAGCTATGGAGAATGGATCATGGACAACCTTGGACGAAGTAGAAAATCTTAATATTCCAGATGATTTGGAGAAAGAGTTTAATAAAAGACCAGGATCAAAGGATTATTTTGTTAGTTTGAGCAGATCAGTTAGAAAAGGTATGCTATACTGGATTGTTGTTGCAAAACGACCAGAAACCCGATACAAACGTGTTAGTGAAATAGCAGAAAATGCTGGTCAAAAACAGAAACCAAAGCAATTCAGATAAGATGATAACATACCTACAAGATTTTTTATTCCAGTCCTGAAATATTAGATTTTTGAATACTTAACAAAACATTCCATTGGATACAAGTGATCCATCTAATGATAGAAATCAGAAAATAGTATTCAATGGCTGGGAATGCTTCAAAGGTTGCCTACAGGCGAAATAAAGGAGAATATTGAAGACAATGTTCCATGGAGACGATGTTCATGTAAAGCAGAGGGAAAAGATGCTGGATGAGGACCAGAAACATAAGAAGTGTGTGCAGGGAACGTTTATTTAAATTCTTCCACAACAGGTCACGTAATAGGAATGAGTAGTGTACATGTCCGTAAGAGAGGTCTATCAGACACTGTTAACAATTCACGCGAAAATTTCTGTGATTAATTAGATTAATATGTAAATCCATAACGAGGATTTTGGGACATGAGATAAGAATTGTTTACAACAAACGCGATCAATGGTTGGCTGAGCAACACCAAGTTCTAGCTGTCTCGTGATTTTTTAAGAGGACATATCTCTGGCTACGCTTTTATTCTATTATAAAAGTTTCAATTGTAGCTTATTGCAATGTCTGTAATACTGATTCACTTTTCTCAAACTCCATTATTCTCTAACCCAGAAGCAACTCTTTATCTATGCATATCTTTCAGCATAATTATAACATATGTGCAGATTATATATCATGTCCGGAAATCACTTTCATTGCTCATCTCCAACATTCATTCTATTTTGAATCACTTACGTGTCTCACTCAGACCATTCTTACATTTGTAATTGAGTGTTGATTATTTAGGTGATGAATCAATAAATCCTTCTTTAGAAATTTTAACAGTTGGAACACTGAAAAAATGGAGTACATATCTTCTAATCGTGTGAGAGAGAAAGGTTGAAAAATATGTTGTAATATTTTGGCAAATATATTCATCCTTTTCAAAGAATTTTTTCTTGCTGATTCTCTAAAAACAGTGCATATTTTGATCAAGTGTCAATTTCTGACATAATAGAACATATAATAGAATTATATAATAATTGTTTATTGAATATAGCAGAAAATGGTCAAAAACCTATGTGTATATAGGGAGTGAAGCTGTACCCAGATAAAACCATACCAGAGTTAAACAGTACTCATAATGAGGTTAAAATGTACCCTGTTGTTAACTACAACAGACAAAGTTATAAACCAAGAAAATAAGAACTATAATTTAAAAGTCACTAATTATAAAAATCAAAATAGAATTTAGAGAGAAAATGTACCTCCACTACATACAGAATCTCTTTCTTAAATTATGCTATCAATACCATAAACTGTGCCGACAGGTTCAATATTATCTTGATAGTCATCAAAAAGATCACAATATGAAAACAGATTTTTAGCATTGAAAATATCTATGGCTTTTGTGATTGAATGATGCTCAAAAACACAGCGATTAACTTGTCTTTGACAATGAGCGTTTGAATACATTCTTTCCACAGGCTTTTGAGATAGTTTAGCTTTGTTAAACTTATAATTTGCAATTTTTCTCTCTTCTGACTTTTAAAACCAAAGTCGCGTGATAGTCTAAAAAATAAGAAAAAGCTTATAAAAGTAGAAAACAATTGGATAGAATTTTAATAATTTGCTCATTGGAAATATTATCAAATAGCAATTCATTTTTCTTCTTCCATAAATTAAAAAGAAAACCAAATATTTAAACTTATTTAAGTTCTTTCTATACTAATCACTTGGATTGGAATGATTTTTTTACTGTTTTTTCGGATTTTCTAAGTCATTTTTTTGAGATTTTATTATTAGATTTAGGCCATTTATTCAGACTTGACTATTAAGCCACTTTGAAGAATTGGATCATGATATAAGGAGCCTGATATTGTGTCGGAATTGTGCAATAATTTCATTGATTGAGAAAAAAATTGTTGACCTACTTTTGTACAGTTTGTGAACAAATTTAAAGTGTAAATACAACACTAGTTACCAAGTTACCACACTAGCATCCAACTCTTTAGTTTCCTCAAAGTGACATCAAGTCCGGTGACTGAAAATGATATAAACTCAAGTCACCCTACCCTCAACACATGATACACACTCACTCTTCGTTCATATATATTGATATTGATTCAAATTGACACATAACATAGAAAACAAACATATTTTGTTTATATACTTTGGGAATTAGCCTCTGATATCCAATCATCACTTTACAGCTAGAGAAGAGTCCAGTTCATATTTATCTTTAATAACAGGATCTTACGAGGTCCAGGATATAGTGGAAAACAATGCAACAAATATACTGGGCTGCCTTTGTATATATCTATCTATTTAAAATAACTTTAAAAAACCAATTTAAGTTAGCTCTTTTGAGCTGTATTTTCCATCTTTTATTTTTATTAATATTTCAAGTATGTCAATATAAAACTTATATTATATTACAAGAATGCCAATGATTTTATCTTATCTCATGCGTAATAAATTGAAAATATATATATATATATATATCTTCCTCGGTGTCACTCACAAAATAGTTGATCAAGAGGTGTTAACCAAAACATATTTATCGTTGTAATTTCTAAAACACCGGTTATTGAATTACGTAAGTATCAATTTTACAGATAAATAAAAAAATATCTAGTTTGTAATTCATTTATTCTATTTTGCTCAAAACACTTTTATGGTTTCCTCCAAGAGAAACATTATATCAATTTCTTTTTAGGAAGTAAATTCTTTATGATTTATGATTTTCAAATGTATATCATAAAAAGGTATATTTAGAAGATAAGCATCATAGGTTTATTTTATATAACTCGTCAGATAAATTTTTAAAAGTTATTTATTATTTCCAAAATATACATAAATACAAAATAAAAAAAAATATTTAAACACAGTATTCCAGTATGATAACTCCAGAAGATATTTGGCCTATCATCTGTAATGGGCTTAGTAAATCAGCAAAAACTTTAAAAGAAATTAATTTTAAGAGACTTAGGCTTAATTATGAGAAGAGTATTTCTATTATGAAATTATTAAATAAATGTACTCAAATTGAAAAGATAAGCATTATTGATAATAGAGACTTCGAAAAAGGATTAGCAAATATTTGCAAAGGATTAAATAATTCATCACAGCATCTAAAAGAAATTACATTTCAAAATTGTAGCCTTGATAACGCTGCTTGTGTATCAATTAAGAAGTTACTAATTAAATGCTTTCAAATTGAACTACTCAATATACATGAAAACAATCTGAGGACATCAGGATTTTTAGACATCTGCCTTGGACTTTGCAACTCCATAAATACTTTAAAGTCTCTTTTTTTAACATTTATATTGGTGGACAAAAGAGTGATTAGATGTTTTGAGAAATTTTTAAACAAGTGTACTCGAATTGAAAATATTCAAATCAATAATTATTCAACTTGTACACCTGAGCTGTTTACATTATGCTCTTCATTGGAAACATCTGCAAAAACACTAAAAGAACTTCATTTCAATACTGCAGTTTTCAATCCAGAAAATTCACATTGTATTGATAATCTTATAAGAAAATGTGAAAATATTGAAAGAATACATATAAATGTTGATTTTGAAGAAGAATTTCAACCGTTGTCTACATTTTCTGCTCTGGAAATATCAGCCAATAAACTGAAAGAACTAAATATTATATGCAAATTCAATTTAGAAATGCTTATCCAATTTGAAGAACTTTTAAACAACTGTTCAAAACTGGAAAGTGTAAGCTTTCCATCAATTAGAAATGTAGTCAATGATGAATTTTTCACTATTTGCCAGGGTTTGCAGAAGTCATGTAAAAGTTTAAAAAGATTAGATTTTAGTCATTGCACTTTAACTTCAAATTGCTTTAAAAATATTGGACAGTTTTTAAAATTTTGTTCAAATATTGAAATTATTATTCTAAACAATGATTTCTATACAAGAAATGATGTAACAAATATTTGCAATGGTCTTGAATATTCTTCCAATTCATTGAAAGTTTTAAATTTCAATGGAGGCAATACTGAGGAGAGATCATGGATACCTATATTAAGTCTGCTAATCAAATGCTCAAATAGACCAAAAATGATATACACTTTAAATTTATATGAATTGTTGTCAGAATTAACTGATCAAATGACTATATCTTCAAATACTATAAAAGAAATCAATTTGAATGCATATCATATTGGTAATGATATAGTTATAGATATGGCAACAATTATACAGCAACATACAAGAATAGAATCAGTAAGATTAGTTGGTATAGATAATGAAAATACATTATCTATGGTTTGCAGTGCTTTGGAATGGTCATGCAAACATATTAAAAGTATTCATATTTCACAATCAGATTGGAATTATAGCTCATGGAATAGAGTTTGCAAGTTTTTGAACAAATGTAAAATTGAGTCAATAACTTTTGTGCAAAATAATAATATAGAGAATCAAATATCAAGTATTTGGCATGGATTACAGAATTCTGTATCTACTTTAAAATCTATAGAATTCAATTGCTATGGCTTAGACAATCATGACTATAATAAATTAGGAACATTTTTAGAGAAATGTTTCAACATTGAAACAATAGATCTATCAAGGAGCGCTCCTATTCCAGATGATTCCTTTTCAAAAATTATTGAAGCCTTGGAAAAATCATCAAAAACCTTGAAAAATTTCAATTTCAGTTTTTGTGACATTAATGATGAAGTAGGCAAAACTATTAGTAATCTATTGGTGAAGTGTTCAAATATTGAAACAGTAAATCTAAGTTATAATAGTTCTTTGAGAAGTTCATTGAAAAATATTTGTATTGAGCTGGCAAGATCATCTATTAGTTTAAAAGAAATTAATTTTTCACAATGTAATATCATGGATGAAACTTGCAATAGCCTAACACAACTATTGAGTAAATGTTATAAACTTGAAAAAGTAACATTATTTTCAAATTGGGATTTGAATGGTGAACTAATCAATATATGCCAAGAATTGGAAAAATCTTCCAATACATTAAAGGAGATTTGTTTGGCAAACTGTGGTTTGGATAACAGTCAATTAATTACTTTTGGAAATCTTTTAAAAAAGTGTAGAAAACTTGAAAGTATCAATATAAGTCAAAATAATATATCTGCGGAAGTTTGTATTGAATTTGAAAATCTATCAAAAACTTTGAAAGAAATAGACATTAGTTATTGTGATATGGGTGAAAAACTTTGGATAAATGTCAAGAACATGTTGGAAATCTTTGATAATATTCCAATTATTCATCTGTATGGAAATTCAATTGATGATTATATACCTTTTGTTTTTAAAGGAAAAGTCAATGATAAAGAAATTATATTTAGTTGTAAACTCTGTTTATTATCTGAATTATCACCAATTATTGGAAATATTATATTAAATTCATATAGAATTCTTACAGTTCATCTTGGTGAAACATTCCAAAATATGTCTGGCCTTTCCGATATTTTTCTACTTTTGTCCAAAAGTAAAAATAGTTTGGTAAGTGTCAACTTTAGTTCTTGTAATCTTGATATCAGAATGTGTCAATATATTGGGAATTTTTTGCTTTCATCTGGCTGTATTAAATCTGTCTATTTTTCTAATAACCCAAATTTGTCATATGGTTTTGGATATCTATGTGATGGACTTCAAATTTCACGTTTTTCTTTAAGACAAATTATATTTTCTAATTGTGACTTAACAAACAATTCATGTGTATGTCTTGTAGATCTTTTAATGAACTGTCAGAATATTAAAAAAATAGATCTCAGTTTAAATGAAAATATGGGAAATGAAATTATAAATGTTTTTGAACAACTTCAAAATTCATCTTGCTCTATGGAAGAGATAAATTTAGAATACTGCAAATTAAAGAAGAATGTTTGTGAAAGCCTCAACAATCTTTTAATTAAATGCCCTTATCTTCAATCTGTAAGACTTAAGGGTAATGAAAATCTGATGAAGGATATTAATATTAAAGATCAGTTATATACAAACAATAGGTTCTGTTTATCATAGTCATTTCCAGTAATGATTGGGATAATGACAACATTGAATATCTTAAATTGTAGATGATTGTCAAAGTTCATTGATAAAAAATATAAAATATTTGATTTCTTTTTTTATTTGTATAGCTCTCATTCAAATACAAATGCATTGATGAATTAAAAATACTTTTTATCATTTTTGTATCTAAATAATCAATGACTGATAGTTGCTGTAAAAGCAATGTCATAAATTTATACAATCAATTTTTCAGGTCAAACATAAAATCATATCAAAATATTTTTTAGCTGCAAACAGGTTAACTATCAAATGAGACAATTTTAAGAAAAATTCTGAA